GTCATAACTGGAGTAGTCACTTAAATCACTAATTAGCGATTTGATGACCATTCGGCAGTATCAAAGAGCAATTTCTTCAGCTAAATATTCTTGATCTGATTGTTTTTCTTCGCTAAATTGAGCTTCCATCTCGGCTAATAAAGTGCGATAATCAACATCTCGATCGAGAAAAAGACCACTTAACTTTTGTTGGCGGTCTTCAAATTTTCAGGGTTCAGTAATTAGTTTGATATTTTGGAGCGGGATATTCTTAGTTAAGAGTTGATAAATTTTGGTTTGAGCTAATTGGTCAACTTCTTCCCAAAATTGTGCTTCTTTAGTTAGTTTTTTATTCATAGTTTTTTTAGTTAAATAACAAAGTTTGCACGGGCGAGGTTTTTGCTGACGGAACTTGATAATTCCTGAACCATCACACTCAGAACAAGGACTTTTAGTGAGATAGCGATGACCATTAATGGCACAGTCTACACAGTAGTCATAGTTTTTAAAGGTGAGGAAGTGGTTACCACAACCCGAGCAAACTTGTTGTTTTCTTTTCATTAGTTAGTTTGGTTTTTTTGGTAAAAGTAGTAGATGGTAATCGCTACTAAAACTACCGCAATAATGGTTCATTTGTGTTCTTTTAGTTTTTGGAGCATAAGGTTTTTTATTTTTTTTCTTGGTATAATCTTCAAGCATAAATCACCACGATATACGTGACAATGCCTACCGCGATATACTTGAAGCGATAACTCATGTTTATTTCTGGTCTTGATTCGGGATTCATATTTAGAGGGTGATTTTGATAGTTAGTAATTAGGTAAAGTTAAGGTAAAGGGTGGGTGAGGGTTAAGTTTATTATTTTCAAAAGTAAGCAATCAACAGTAAGAAAAAGATTCCTAAAGCAATTGCCACTAAGGCTCGTTGGGTTTTTTGTCCATAAGCAATATTCTGTTCGAGCAGGGTTTTAAACTCGTTAGTTTTGGTTTCTACGGTGTTTTTTAAACTTTCTTCATAAAAGCCGGTTAAGGCTCCTTTGAAATCGGGTAAATAGTCTTTGAGAGCCATAGTTAGTTAGTTTGCTCGTGCGTTTTGATGTAGTGATAAACAAAGATGCCCACGATGGCAGTAGCTAGTAAAGTGTAAGTAATTAGTTGAGTAGTCTCCGAATGCTGAGGAGCCAGTTCTTTTAAACTAGTGGCTAGTTGATTCAGATTGCTCGGGATCGTTAGGAGGGGCATCATGGTGATTTAGTTCGGCAGTTTTTGCTGCTCGTTGACGAAATTTAGTGATGGTGTCAAGGTCAGGAGTGGAAGGATCAGATAATCTTTCTCAAGGCTTAAATCTTCAGTAAGTTTCACCATTTTTATCGGTGAGTGGGTAAGAGATAAATTTCTGAATTCCAATTCTTAAGTAGTAAGTAATTACTCCATCCTTGACTTCTTTTCACAAAATAATGCGGGTTTTATTGGGATTGATAAAATGACACGAGCAATTGCTTTTGGTCAGTACCGTTTCTAAGTCGGAGAGATTGAGCGTTAAGAGTTCGGAGTTCATAAGGGAGGGGTAAGGGTTAATTAAGAGAGCAATTATTCACTCTCTTTTTTAAATAATTTGTTAGTTAGTTTTTGGACGATACCAGTTTCATCCACGAAGTAAGCTAGGGTTATTCCTAAGACAATATAAGATGGTCATCAGTCCACGTAAGATTTTCAAGTGTTTTGATTTTGGTGATTCATGTTGTTTTTGTATTTCTATTGTTAATTAAAAACCACACAGAAGTTGTAAATAACTTCCTGTGTCAAGGTTTATTTAAACTTTCATCTCACTTTTTAGAAAAGTAAGCAAAATAGTTTATTTGAGTAATTGTTTACCAATCACATAAACTCCTCCGGCAATCGCCAGGGAGATGGTAATTCCGGCGATGGCATAACCAAAGGAGGTTTTAATGTCTTCCCGGTAGAGAATTTCTTCCCGCCGAGCAGAAAGGAGCGGACTGCGAGTAGGTTTTTTTTCTAGTTGGTCAATATTTGGCATATTATTTTTTAGTTAGTAATTCTTTAATCTCAGTTAGTAACTGATTAGTTTTAACTTGATTTTGATTAAATTCTTTGATTTGGGAGATTAAGGGAGTTAGGTCGGGTAGGAAGGACATAAGATTTTAATAGTCGGATTCTAATTTAGGGTTAGGGTTAAATTCGATTTGTTTTTTCTCTTGGGTATGGGTTAAACGAAGTGATTTAAATTGGTCAGTTAAATTAGTGAGTTGCTGAGTAGCATTAGTTTTTAACTGTTCAAGGTGTTGATAGATTTGATTTTGATTAGTAATAATTTGGGATTGGGTTAATTGGAGTTGCTGCAAAGCGGTTTGGACTTCCGCCATCGTTCCTGACATCTGGGGTATCTTTTGTCCGGTAGTAGCTTCTATCATAAACGGGATTCACGGAATTAATTTCATCACCGAATCTGGTAAAGTAAAAAGTCCTTGATTAGGTGGATTAGTCGGAATTTGAGATTTAGGTTCAGTTTGAGGATTAGGGTTGGTTTCGGGAAGGAGAGGCATAATTTTAATGGGCTAATTGAATCAGGGTATTTAAGCCAAAGGCTAAACCACCCAAGACTGGTAAGCCACTGGTGTAGTCTTGATTCAGGTGGGAACCATAGAAATAAAGGACTAGGCAGACTAGGGCGACGATAATTAATAGATATTTCTTTTTAAATTGCATAAATTACTTTAATATCTTTTTCTTTAGACTATATTTATTAATAATCTGATTAGTTAATAAGCCTTTTAATTTACTGAAGGGTTTAAAATTAATTCGGTAATAAACAAAAATATTTTTATTCCCTAACTGCTTTTTAAATAAGGCACTTTTGATGGTATGCTCTTTTTTGGTGAATTTACCTAAGGAGCCTAATCTTAGACTTTGACCGTTGCTTAGTTTAGTTAGTGAATTAAATAAGTCGGCTTGGACTAATTGATAAGCTAGTTTTAAATCTTGGGGAGTGTAGTTTTGGAGCATTTGGATTATCTTTCAAAGGACACGATCATCCTTTAAATTCATTTTGTCCAGTAGTTCTAAATGGTAAAAAAGAATTCTAGTTAAAAAGTGGTCAGTAGAGTGTAGTTTTAGGAAGTAAAAAAAATTAAAATATGGAATTAAAAGTGGATAATTTTTGAATTGAACTTAAAGAGACTCAATCCGGACACCAAATTTTAAGTTGTCAACTGGATGGTCAACACTGAAGAGGGTTTTTAGAAGTGAGAGAAGGTAAAAGGGAGAATGGAGAGACTTATACTTATAAAAGTGCCAATATGCGACCTTGTCATTGAGAAAGGTGTAGTATTTGTCATCCGGAGCTAGTGATCAACTAATACTACTTGATTTTTAAATATTCAAC